AGGTGGTATTTAGTTTCCCAGAAGATTTCAAGAAGTCATAAAAAACACAAAGTGCAGCCGTAGCCCGCGCTGACCCCGCGCTGACCCCGCGCTGACCCCGCGCTGACTCTGGGTTGCTGTGTGGAGCCCCGAGCTGCGCCCCGGCCAGCCTTCTGTTGACTCAGCTCTCCCTGAAAGCTCTGGAACCTCTGCCATCAGGTCCCGCTGGGGCGCTTCCATGGACTTGTGGGATGTTTTTAAAAGTAATTCCTCAGTACATTTAGGGAAAAAATGAGTAATGCCATAACCCGTGCTCCATGTGCTGTTTCTTAGCAATGAAAGACAAATAAAGCTGAAGTCGTTTGTGACATAAACATATCCCTTTAAACACTCACACCGGGACTGTAAGTCAACATGTCCCATCACCAACGCCGTGGGCCAAGTCCAAAGCTCCTGCCACACTACAAATGTCTGCCACAAGTGGTGAGATTGAATTAGCGGCAAAATAAAGTCATGGAGCTCACAGAAAATTATTGTAAAACCGGACATGGTGTGGCATTGAGACATTTTACAATCAGGACAAAAGTGAAAGGAAATTAATGAAAAGATGGTGATTTGTGACAATCCTTAATAATAATAAAAACATTATTGGTTTTAATTCCATTTTAACTAAGCTACTCAAACACATTATGATTGTGCTTTCATTTGCAAAGCAAAGATCAACAGGGATTTATTTCCTCATCTCCGGAGCCTGTTATCCAATCAATGTGGGTGGAACCACTTGGGCAAAGACGCTTCTAGAGAGATTCACATGTCTGATAGAAGTTGTTGAGTTTCACATGTAACAGCCGAACTTCTACCTTCCGCAACCAAGCTAAAAGCATAAAAACTGATAGAAGAAACATACTGGTAGGATAGCAGGATGACCCTTCATGCAAGAGTGATTTCGCAGAACTGGAGCATTGTGTATGTTTGTGACTTTTGCTGTTTCCACAGTCCGGTAAATTGAGTGCTTTCCTTCTCTTTCTGCTGAATCTCTGTTGAAAATGAGCTTCGTGTCTGATTAGGTTCCCTTCTCTACTTTTTGAGAAATACACTGGCCCTTCACATCCCACGTATTTGTTTTGTTTTATGTTTTCTGCATGAACATTGTTTGGCCAGTGAAAGCCAAAATCTGAAGCATAGAAGTTAGGGAGAAAAACGATTCACAGAAAATATATTGTTAGAAATTAAATTCATCATTTGAAAGTTAAAGGGTGACCCAACTATTAACTGAATTTCACACCTACAAGAATGATTGGCTTGATCAAAATCTCTGAGGATTTGTAAGGAAGAAAAATTACTGCTACTCATGAACTGCTTGGTAAATGGAGGTAATTTCTTCATATTCACCTGGACATCTGGGACCTAAGCATTTTGGATATTAAACTGAGACCTGCAGTCTTACAATTAAATTCATGGAATTAGGTTTTAATAAATTAATTAAACTTATGAATGCATGAATAACTTTTTCTTTGCATTTGTGAGACATTTGCCATCAAATTGGAGTCACAAAACCTGTCCAAGAATACGATAAATTTGACTTTGGTGTGACAGTTTTACAATGGGTTAACGTCCAATTCATGTATCCTTAAAGTCCAAAGCTGCGTGTTTTCTCTGACAAATTTGAATTTGAATTATTTGAATCATTTTCTAATGTGAGCCATAAAAACGGATAGCATACATGCTTCTATGTGCTTTTTTGCATTTCTACAACTCAAAGAACAGTTTGGTTGAAAAAATAAAATTTAACAGCCTTTAATTTGTCATGTGGAATCTGATTCTATGTGCTTTTTACTACCTCCATATATTTATCTAAGTGAAACATAAAATGGTTGCAATAATGGAGAATTTAAAGTAGCTTTTGCACATGAGCAGTAATGCTAACTAATATGCTGAATAAAAGCTGAATGTAAATTCTGGTTTCTGTTTCTTGTGATGTGTTGGCTAACGTGAGTAGATCTCGGTTAGCTGAGGCGAGATCCACATCATTGTAATTCAGCAATGAAGAACTTTGATGGGCAGAATGCAAAAGAAAAAACAGGGAAGGGGCCGGCACTGTGGCTCACTTGGTTAATCCTCTGCCTGCAGTGCCGGTATCCCATATGAGCACCAGGTTCTAGTCCCGGTTGCCCCTCTTCCAGGCCAGCTCTCTGCTGTGGCCCGGGAAGGCAGTGGAGGATGGCCCAAGTGCTTGGGCCCTGCACCCGCATGGGAGACCAGGAGGAAGCCCCTGGCTCCTGGCTGTGGATCTGCGTAGTTTCAGCCATAGCAGCGGCCATTTGGGGGGTGAACCAAAGGAAGGAAGATCTTTCTCTCTCTCTCTCTCTCACTGTCTAACTCTAACAACGCAGAACAAAAATAGGGAAATTATCATTTGGGTGCAACCCAGTGCCTGTGTACTTATTCAATTTTCAGATTGCCATACAGTGTCCATTAGATCACAGAACTGTAAAGCCAGAGCTCGGCCTGAGCTGTAGGAATTCTCTCATATTTCCATGTATGCATTCAGAGACAGCACAGATACGACGACCGTCAGCGTAATCCAGCATCACAAGTTCCCGTGGACTCTCCCTCACTTAAGTCTCTTGAAAGGAGCCTCTCTTCTGCATTTCCCGTCACACTTGGGTTAGGCCCTCAGTCGTGTTTCATTTGGACTAACCCAATAGCCACATTGCTCTCCACACCACCAGCATTTCCACACTCCCAGGGCCCCCTGCCCTTTTTATTTCTGTCCAACTCCTTTGCCCGTAAAACAAGTGTAACCTTGTCACTGCACTGGTAATGGACTTCTGTCAGCTTCTCATTAATCTGCAGGGTCAAGTCCAAATCCCTTAACTTGACTTAGGTGTTCTAACACAGACCTCACCACACACACTGGTCCACACTCAGTATCCTGCTACATCGTGCCACACTCCTAGAAGTGCTCAGAACTTTGTCCCTTTCTTTCCCATTGGCTTTCTGCTATCTACCTATAAGATACCACCTTCTCTTCTAAGGTGTGTTGGATATCCCCCAAGTAAAATTACCTGAACCATTGAAGTGTGTTTCCAAATACATTGCTCACATTATATTCAGAAAAAAAAAATCAGCTTTCTAATTAGCATATAGGCCTGTGATCAGACAACATTCTGAACTCTAGCGACAAATGTAATTCCATTTGTATTTGTATTTTTAGAGCTTAACCCAGTAGCACGTGGAAGCAAATGTTCTCATTATTTGTTGAATGAGCAAATAAATGAATGAATGAGTCTGGAAAGGTCTGGAGAAAAGGTCAACACAAAAATGCTATTAGAAAAACCATTAAAGGGAGAAAAACAACTCCAAACAGTTATAAAACATCCACTAAGGATACCTTGAAACCCGTTCCATACAACACAGTATTTCCTGGAATCCACGGAATGATATACGTTTTTTATGAGCACGAGGGATCAGTGGGAAAATCTTTTAAATTTTATATAGCTATAGCCAGAATGGAAATTCATAAAAGCATATCTCTCCTATAGAGTCAATGCATTATTTTAATATAGACTTTTTATAGACACAAGCCCTGAGATGTTGCCATCAGATGTTTGCCTCTGCTTTAAGTGAGCTGTTGTTTAGGTGGCCATTGTCTATATATCTCTACTAACATTTATGAAATTCAGATATAACCTACAGAAAATGTTCTCTAGGAAAGAATAAGAATTCATGTTTCTGGAATTCTATGAAGCTCTATTTATCTTCAGATTGCTGGTCTGATATGGCTGATACAAGAAGGGTCTGTGAAGGTGTTCCTAAGGAAATAAAACCTTACATGAGTGAATAGCATAAGATGATTTTTATTGCTTGTAATTTCATACCGGAGAGTTCTGTTCACCATAATCATAAGTATGGTATTGGGTTCCAGGTCATTTTCCAAGCCAATAATAGGGTTAAATGGAGCAGTAACACCCTTGCCAGATATATTTTTTTGTTCAGATATATTTTTAATTGTTGAAATGCTTTACATTATAATGTAAGTGTCATATATCAATATTTACAAGCCAAACAGAATAGTTTATTGTTAGAGATATATTTGAATGCTATTACAGAATTTTATTTGTTTCAATTACATTGGGAAAGTCTGTATGTCATTTTATCTCTATTTTCTTCCTACTGAGGACGTAGTAACTTCTTAGAAATATGTGTAATTAACAGCTGCATTTTTCCTATGAATGAATTTTGAAATCCAGTGTTGGATAATATAAAAATCTGTCAAACTTTGTCAAATTACATGAAGTAATCCGAAACTTAATTATCTGCTACAAAAATCCTAACATATCGTCATTAGATTATGGGGGAGAGTAAATTCTGAACATCTTATTCTAAGAGTAAATTTACTGATATTTCAAACTGCATTTTCTTTGTAACTTTCATCATTTTGATATAACATTATTATGTTCTTCACTCTTTCATGTTGTGGTGTAATTTCTTCCTATTGTTCATGTGAAAGAAGCCCAGAGCTTTCTAAAAAGTAACAGTTTTCTCATAAATTCTAGAATGTTTTGTGAATAACTACAGTTTTTTCTTTATAAGATTCTATCTGGTCGTAATTTCTAGAAATTGCTGGAAATTGTTAAGCTTTGTCTCCTTTTCCCTGTGAAAAGCCCAAGTTTTGTTTCTCTTTATGATAATAAAAAAGGTCCTCAAATTAGTTTGCACAGAAATATGAATCATAAGCACTACAATCATTTTTAAAAATTTGATCCAATTGATAGGTAGAAAAGTCAAAGATATACTTTCATTTGTCAGATCAACAGACCCCTTCTATTCACTTGGAACATCATACCATCTGTCGACATTCAAGCTTTGAAGGTTTTGTGGTCATCTTTTACCTGCTGAAAGTCACATGTCCTCAACAAACCCTTCCTGGTCCCTACAAGACGGGACGAGGGTATTTTAATAATGGCCTTCCTGTTACTGATAATTGCCTAAGCTGCTGCTTCTTTTCTTTTTTTCAGAATGAAGAACAAATTTTGGTATTTTGAGTTTGGCACCTCTGAAACATTCTCAGCCACCTGCAAGAAGCTTCATGAATCTGTAGAAATAGAAGTAAGAAAAAAGGATTCTATTTTGTAATACTATGAAATGGTTCGAGTTTGGTTGTTAACATTTTTGGGGTAGCCCATGAAATGAGTTACACTCTGAGCAGTCCATATAGATTTCCTCAAGATTATAAAATGCCATTGCTGTCATTATGCAGCACCATCGGAAACACTAGTAGAAAGTTAAATGTGTGTATGAGTTGTTCCTATTTCGTGTAAAAGAATAAGATGTGGAAACACAACTATGGAAACTAGTGAAGGAATCATTGGGCATTGAGGGAATGGAAAGATTTGAGAGAGAAAAAAAGTAGTTGGAGGAAAAAAGAAGGAAAAAATGTAAGATACATTAAAGAACTTACTATTTCCAGGTCTCAATAACTTATAACCTTTAAAACACAGTTCACTAAAATTGTACTTACTTTCATGAATAAACGTTAAAAAATACACTTTTCATTCCTTTCCCATTCATTAGCTATTTTTTCGCAGTTCCCAAGGTTGCCATTTCCCCGTAAAATATAATATAGGAAGCGAAAATGCCAAGAAAAAGAGCAAGGCTAACAAGAAAAGACACACTTTAAAAAAGACTTGGAGCAAGTAGGTGTACCAAAAATATATAGATACAGTAGTACTCAAAATTTTGGAGACATATTATAAAAAATCACAGCTATATATGTTGAAGGTTAAAGGAAAATGAAAAGTTATATTTTGATAAATGATGAGAGCAAAGCTAAAGGAGCAGAATTATAAGCTTCAATATCTAATGATTAGCAGTTATGGATTTAGAAGTATTGGCTTTGGCACTCTTCATTTTATAATTGGTGAACATATTTAGTGACTTATATTCGAGTAGTGAGTTTGGAAACAGAAGTGATTAATACATAGGATCGTAATGGCTTGGCTAGTTCTTCATTACCCTAACGTTTTAATTTGCCGTTATGCGAATCATGCTGAAAATGATCGCACTTACCATATAATCTGTGGGCACTTTATTCTCATCCTGTTCCATGAAGTTGATTACATGTCAGAAGATGATCTGGGTTCAGTATGAACGTTTTGTGCTTCTCATTCATTATGATATCTGAGTGTGCATAGATTTCAAAATTCTTTTGTCACAAAATAAACATTTTTAATTCCATTTCCTATGAACTTTTAAAAGTGCCCCAGTGTGTGTATACATCTATTATATGTGTATATATAGATATATAAATAATATCCAAGGTATGCCTATATTATATGTAAAACTGCATATGGTATATTTTAGCTTTGCATTTTATAGAGTTATATATATACCTGGGTATTTATAAAAATTACAATCTCCCTTTAACTTCAGCATCATTATTTTTGTGACAGTTGCTTTATCTAATGGATTTTGAGCATTTTGTAACATCAGAAACCTATGCTCAAAGAAAATCTGTAGCAGAAGACAAAAATTTTTTACATACACACACACACACACACACACACACACACACACACCCCTTTGGTCGATTGTGGGTGGAGACTGAATCATCCTATACCTTGTCTGACCTTAACTTATCCTTGAACACAGATTGATAAACCATGGATTCTGTAGCACAATATTGTATGTCACAAAGCAAAAAAAATTGCTCAAGAAAAATGTTGGATAACAAGCGATATTTTAAGGAAAATAAATGCTGAAATATTTATTTATTTTAAAGCTCTAAATCCTGACAGAGTCGAGTAGCTTTGTTCCGCAAAGTCTTACAGCTTGTAGAAAATTACTATTTCAAATGTCTCTCAAAAACACTGAATGACGGGAACTAAGCTGTTTCTCTGACTCTTGGTCCAAGTGTGGCCTTCTAGCCCTGCACCATGGGCTTCTTCACCCTGTGCTGTGTGCACTGCTCATTGTGTTGGGGGTGGAGGGGTGGGGAGGGGCGGGTGAGTGTGTATATGGTTGGCAGTGCCTCTCAGTTCACATTGTAATGAATCCAGTCTATCATATTAGCAAAATACGCCTTTCTACCCTCAAGGTTGCTTCATAATTAAATATAAAATAACAGCAATTCGGAAATTTGATTCGGTTTGCTGTTGCTTCCTATGTGGCCTGAAATTATACCCTCTATGATTTGAAAAATATATAACAGAGAATAAACCACTTCAGCAACAATAGAACCTCAAGTAGTGGGTGGATGTTTTATTTGTAGCTTCTTTAAAAATGAGCCATTTTCTGTGTCTTTTTATCCCATTTTCCTCTTCTTCTGAAAGTGGCATCTATTTGAAATGATATGAATATTATGAGATAAGTGTTGATATAAGATTGACAGATGATAAGATGATAATGAGGAGATTTATATATCATTGACTCTGCTGCGTGCTTGGTGTTAACCAATGAACACATCCACTAGCTGTCTGCATCCAAATCCTGTGATCAGAGAAACAAAGTTAAATCTCCACCGTAGGGATGAGTACACATTGTCTTTAATACTGTTAGAGAAAGAAGAATTATATTACTGCCAAAATGTTAAAACTAAGGAAATAAATGGGTTGAACTTATATGAGGGTATTTCAAAAAGTTTGAGGAAGGGTAGAATCAAAAAGTAAGTTTAGATAACTCAGTTACAAAAGACAAGGAAATAAGAACTAAAATGAGGAAGACTAGTGTGCCATAAGTTGACCTGTGCCACACGTGGGAGTGCTTGGGTTTCGGTTTTTGACTCTGCTCCCGACCACAGACCCCTGCTGGTGCAGACCTGAGGAGACAGCATTGATGACTAAGCAGTTGGGTTCCTATTACCCAAAGGGGAGATCTGGATTAAATTCCCAGCTATGAACTGCAGTCCCAACCCAGCCCCAGCTATCGTGGGCATTTGGGTAGTGAATTCACTGATAGGAGCACTTGTTCCTTTCTCTCTCTCCCTGTCTCTCTCTTTCTTTCTCTCTCTCTCTTTCTCCTTCTCTAATAAATAGTTTCTTAAAAAAGAAGATAAAAGCTTTAAATTTGCAGAAAAAGCAAAGTTTAAGACATTTGTTGGAGTTTGTGAATGGATGGGTGTCTAAGACTCAAGGCTACTATCTGAGCCTGAAGTTGTAATAGTCGTAGATTTTTGTTATACTCCATGTACCATGCAAATAACAGGAGAATAACAAAAGCCTATTCTCCAGCTCTTTCAGTGTTTACTTGTCAGTAAGACTGGGAGGGATGGCAAACTTAGAATTAAGAATTCTCTGGGCTGGCACTGTGGCATATTGGGTAAAGCCACCAACTGTGGCACCGGTATCCCATATGGGCGCTTTTTCGAGTTTCAGCTGTTCTACTTCCAACTCAGCGTCCTACTAATGGGCCTGGAAAATCAGCAGAAGATGATCCAAGTCCATGGGCCCCTGCACCCACGTGGGAGACCCTGAGGAAGATCCAAGCTCCTGGTTTTGGATCGGACCAGCACTGGCCATTGAGGCAATTTGGGGAGTGAACAATGGATAGAAGATCTCTCTCTCTCTCTCTCTCTCTCTCTCTCTACCTCTGCCTTTCTGTAACTCTGCATTTCAAATAAATAAATCTTAAAAAATAAAAAATCAAGAATTTTCATCCCAAAGTACTGAGATTAGTCCTAATGATTAAATACTCTCCAAATCTGCATACTCTCAAGGTTAACAAACAGCAAGAGAAGCATCAGGGAACCAAATGCGGAAGACAAACTTCCTATTGTTTAGTAACGTGGAAAACACAGAACTGTTTAAAAAAGCATCCCGGCCGGCGCCGCAGCTCACTAGGCTAATCCTCCGCCTTGCGGCGCCGGCACACCGGGTTCTAGTCCCGGTCGGGGCGCTGGGTTCTGTCCCGGTTGCACCTCTTCCAGGCCAGCTCTCTGCTGTGGCCAGGGAGTGCAGTGGAGGATGGCCCAAGTGCTTGGGCCCTGCACCCGCATGGGAGACCAGGAGAAGTACCTGGCTCCTGCCATCAGATCAGCGCAGTGCGCTGGCCGCGTCGGCCATTGGAGGGTGAAGCAATGGCAAAGGAAGACCTTTCTCTCTGTCTCTCTCTCTCTCACTGTCCACTCTGCCTGTCAAAAAAAAAAAAAAAAAAAAAGCATCCCATGGGGCACCAGGTTCTAGTCCTAGTCCTGGTTGCTCCTCTTCCAGTCCAGCTCTCTGCTGTGGCCTGGGAGGGCAGAGGAGGATGGCCCAAGTGCTTGGGCCCTGCACCTGCATGGGAGACCAGGAGGAAGCCCCTGGCTCCTGGCTTCGGATTGGTGTAGCTCTGGCCGTAGCGGTCATTTGAGGGGTGAACCAAAGGAAGGAAGACCTTTCTCTGTCTCTCTCTCTCACTGTCTAACTCTATCTGTCAAATAAATAAATAAATTATTTATTTGAATGTCAGAGTCACAGAGAAAGGACAAGAGGGGGAGAAGCAGAGAGAAAGCGAGAGAGAGAGATTGATTTTCCCTCCACTGGTTCACTCCCAAAATGGCCACAACAGCCAAGAGCTGGGCCTGGCCAAAACCAGGAGCCACAAGCTTTTTTGGGTTTCCTGCTTGGGTGGCAGAGGTCCAAGTGCTTAGACCATCTTTCACTTGTTCACCAAGCACATTAACATGTAACTGAATCAGAAGTGAAGCAGCCAGGACTTAAACTGCCAGCCATATGGGATGGCCATGTCACAGGTGGTGGCTTAACCCACTATACCACACTGCTGGCACCCAACATAGTACTCTTCAATGCACTGGGCCAGAGTTTCCCAGTCTTTAGTGCACCTACCCTGATCCTAAAATTACCTGTAAAACAAAGTTTTATGTTTCATTCATGGAGAAAACTATGAGTCTTTTTAATCTGATGTAGGCAGAGAATAAAATTCACTATGGGGAAAGATTTTCTGGTTTATCATTAGCTATATTTCATCAAATTCATTACCCACACTTACAGATCTCCAAAGTTTGTCATCAAGGATTAAAATACATCGGCAGAAAATTTCAAATCATTTTCTTTTCTTGTAAGTAGATTTGTGTCTGGAGTAACTAAGATCTTCTAGTTTAGGTCTAAGTACACAGTGGCATCACAGCAGTGCATTCTAACATCCGTTGCTGTAGACCTGTATGTTAACCACCTTTTAGCACATGATAAAAATGTTCAGAATTTGTTGACTAAGCCTATTGGCTTTTAAGCTTTGATATCCTTTTCCTCTTTAGCTGCCTTTTGAAAGACCATAAATCTTCAAAGGGTGTGGACATAGTTTCTGACCCAGGGCACAACTATAAGTTGTTCACATTTCCTCATCTTCACCTCTGCTGTCACTTCCGGGAACGCACTGGTGAACCGCTGTTCCTGGTCCCCATCAGAACTGGCTCTGAGGTTTTCCAGATTACTGCACATCACATCCAAGCCAACGGAGGAAGGCAGCCTGGGGTCAAACACTAGTGGAAACAAATCATTAGTACAAGGCCATTTATTTCAGTACAGCGCCTGCTCTTGAAGGCTTTGTTCTTGGGCCACTCCTTGAGACTCGTTTTCATCCTCAGAATCTGGTTTCTGTAAATTTACACATGGACGGCCCCAAAGAGGGAAAATATGAACAATAGTACACATGGAAGCTTTTCTGGCTTCAGTAATTCCAGTGGTTCAATTACCAATAAATAAATAAATAAATAACAAACAGAAAAACCACACACAGGAGCAAAGCTTATTTGCAACATGCACTCCATTTCTGTAGATGAACAAAGGAATCTTCCTTCACTAATTCTGCAAGTAACTTGTCACAGCGGGGGGGCCGAGGCCTAGTCAAATAATTGTCTTCGTGTACTACCCGCTGTGTCCAATATTGAGTGAAAATGGAAGCCAACCTTAGCTCCAGCTTCTTGCGCGATCCTTCTGTTATTTAAATGATTTTAGTCAGTTTGGGGGAAGCCAGACCTTTATAAATTAACAGCAGGAAAATACCAAAGGTGTCACATTGCATATTTATCATCTTTTTCGTGTAATCCTTAAATATGTATTAAGAAGTGACTGACATAAATTAGGCAGATTTCAGAAGCCACAGGCCGCGGCTTGTGGAGGACCCCCTTCTGCTTGACATTTCATCCTTGTCAAAGATCAAATTATTTTAATTTAGGCTGCAAATTATAAGGAATGAAGACTTCTTTGTGGGAATTCCCTGTGGTAATCTGACTTTTGTTGTTACTGCTGCTTGTCAGTGTGCAAAAGATATAATATGCATGCAAATAAGGTTAAAAAATATGTACTATCTAATTATCCAGCCAGTGCGGCCCACTTGAAAACGGTGGGAGGCCTGACACACAGTATGTGTTTGATTCTTTGAGGCCTGCAGGGTATTTACACAAGATTACTTTTAATTATGAAATTAATATCTGTTTATCTAGAATATATAGTGGTAAGTGAGTATACACAGGAGAAGAAATCTTTAGTAAAAAGAAATCATCTTAATTTCATACATGAAAAGGAGCAAAAATCACTTGTTTCTGGGAAAAAAAGCAAAAGGCATCATCCAGACATCGATTTCATCCTCCTTGAAACAAATTGAATGAGAACTTGGCACTTTCGCTAGAATTTGTTCCTACCCTTGCCAAGTGGGCTCAAGATGTGTTGCTTTATTTCCCAGCTTGTATTTTTTAGTGAACAGGATACAATGCTAGACTGGGTATGAGGGCAATGAATGTGGAGATGGAGGTGTGGCTATTTTTTGATATTGTTTTTATAATTTTGGTGTAGTTTTACCTCTCCTAAATCCAGAAATTACAATTGTCATGAAGAATGATGAGTTAGTCGCAGTGATTTGTGTGTGTGTGTGATAAGACGTGGCAAAGGAAGCAACCGTACTGCAGATAAACTTTAATTTATGAAAGGCGGATCCCTAACAAAGTTCTTTAAAAAGCAGGGAGTTGTATGTTTACGTCTGCCATCCTATTGACTTACGATCGAAATGGAAAAACGTTTTCTGGGATCTATTTATAACAACTGCCATTTTAGAAGACCCAAAGCCAATGAATAAATAAATACTAATTCCAAAAAAAGACAGAATAGCCTTGCCATTCTCCACACGTGTCCCTTAGCAGAAATAAACAGAAAACTCAAAAACGTGAAAGTGACCACTGTTGACTATAGCAAAGCCCTGTCTGTTATTAAGTTCCTTAGCTTTCAATGCCCCCAGGACCTCTCCTTGCCTTGCCATCCTGCTTGGAGTTCAGTCCAGTCCAAGGAGCTATCCTTGGTCACTCCTCTGTGACTGAGATCTCCTTGAACTGCTGTTTGTTTTAACCTCTTTTTACTAAAGTCACATAAGTCATTTATTTCCCTGCTCAAAGGAAAATGAAGTGAGATCAGGAATCATTAATTCTGTGTCTGCTTTGCCCTGTCATTGCCTGCCAGTGTACTCTAAATAGGCTGTGAGCATTCCATTTTCCACCCAAAATTTGCCCATCTTTTCCAGAGTCAGTCTCTTGGTAACACTCCGTTAATTTCCAGCTGATCACTTTGCAGACATGAATGTGTGTCTCTCCCAAAGATAACCCTGGTGATTTAATTTGATCATTTAAAAGACTATTAAGGGTGGCTGGCGCCGCGGCTCAACAGGCTAATCCTCCACCTAGCGGCGCTGGCACACAGGGTTCTAGTCCCGGTCGGGGCGCCGGATTCTGTCCCGGTTGCCCCTCTTCCAGGCCAGCTCTCTGCTATGGCCCGGGAGTGCAGTGGAGGATGGCCCAAGTGCTTGGGCCCTGCACCCGCATGGGAGACCAGGAGAAGCACCTGGCTCCTGCCCTCGGATCAGCGCGGTGCACTGGCCCAAGTGCTTGGGCCCTGCACCCGCATGAGAGACCAGGAGAAGCACCTGGCTCCTGCCCGATCAGCCGGTGCACTGGCCCAAGTGCTTGGGCCTGCACCGCATGAGAGACCAAGAGAAGCACCTGGCTCCTGCCCTCGGATCAGCGCAGTGCACTGGCTGCAGCGCGCCAGCCGTGGTGGCCATTGGAGGGTGAACCAACGGCTAAGGAAGACCTCTCTCTCTCTCTCTCTCTCACTAACTCTGCCTGTAAAAAAAAAAAAAAAAAAAAAAAAAAAAAGACTATTAAGGGTAACTGGTTAATGTTAGTAGCTGCTTTATCTTTCATATTGACATTTAGGGTAAGCATTTAAGTGCCCTTGAAAAGCTTATTCAGAAATGACAGGATTATGGATTTAAAAGCCCTCGATAAAAAATAAGAAAAAAAGAAGAGATCAAGTACAGGAAGAGAAAACATCTTAACGGTGTCTTTCTTTCCCAGTGCGATGGGGTACAGATAGATCTGATCAACATCTCCCTGGAAGGAATCGCTATTTTGAACATACCAAGCATGCATGGAGGATCCAATCTTTGGGGAGAGTCTAAGAAAAGACGGAGCCATCGCCGAATAGAGAAAAAAGGGTCTGACAAAAGGACCACACTCACAGATGCCAAAGAGTTGAAGTTTGCAAGTCAAGGTAAGCTTTGCAACAATTGGTTGTTAAATTGATGGTTAGTCGGCCTTCCAAGATTACCATCAAATGAAAGTTTTCCATTGCATTATAACAACGTGTATTTTTATGTAGTTGCATTTTTCATGTTAGCTCTCCCTGTTTGATTAACTTATAATAGATTCAGAGATTACATCTAAACTACCTGTAGTTTTCATGGTTTTTGTTTTTGTCTTATATTCTCCTTTGTATTACCTCCTCTCATGGAAAATAAAATGCCTATTGGGAACTGAGTAGATCATGAAATGGGGTATATGGTACACAAAGCTCTTCTGGAATGTGATCCTCTTGGTCACAATATTCCAGTTGTTATGACAAGGGCCTACCCAAGGTTTTACTAAGCTTGTATTCTAAGGGACTTTATGCTGGCCTTGTTTCAGTCAAACTGTGCCATCAATGCTCTCTTATATTAAGCTATAATCTAAGTACCATATATAACAGGATATATAAATATCCCACAGTAAATTTTGACTACCTGCTGTAATTTTTCCAGAAATTTAATAGCAGCAAGGAAACCGTGAATAAAGGACTAACAGCATAGGAAGGCATAGCCATGGTCGGGATCAACCCTATTGTAGTAGGGTCTGTGGTGGGATGTGACGCCTTACTCTTGTGGTTGTCCTTCCCAAAGAGATCAACGTGATCATATCTAAGAACTGAACGTGGAAGAGTGATGTATGTATTTAGTGTAGGATACTTCTTTCCCCTTACCTAATACGATGACACTGAGAATGCAAGAAAACATTTTATCTCAGCTCAGTCCAGTGAGAAAAAATTACAAAGACACTGTGGAATTAAGGGTCCAGTATAAATTAATTAGATCATTAATGGAATAAGATGGGATGATGAGTGTGGACTTGACAATAGTAGGCATCTGTTGACTTAGCACCTGGCTCAAGTTTCAGCACTGGGCAATGACTTCTGTCCAGGGTAGTTTGATGTCATTTGAGGGTTGTGAGAGGTTGATGGGGAAAGTACTAGCACTCCTCTTTTACAAAATGCTTGCAAGAACTTGATGGTAACATGAAGCTTTGATGCCTCTGAAATGTACGTTATGCGGAAGACCTGTATAACTCAATATAAGCAAGGTGTTAAAGTGATGAAAATACTTTACAGACTGGAATACAATTGTATGAAACATGGAGGAAAATAGAAATGTATACAAAAATGAGAGGTTTAATAAAGCATAAGTATAATAAAAATAAGTATAAAATTATTAGTTTCTATAAGTTATTGATATTAATGCTGAATTAATAAGTGTATTTAAATTTGAATTTAACTATAAGATTTGTACATTTCTGGTGCTGGGGCTGTGACACAGAAGGTTAAGCCTCTGCCTGTAGGACAGGCATCCCATAATGGTACTGGTTTGAGTCTTGGCTGCTCCACTTCTGATCCAGCTCCCTGCTAATGCTCCTGAGAAGGCATTGGAGGCTAGCCAATGTGCTTGGACCTTTGCCTCTCATGTGGGAGACCTGGATGAAGCTCTTGGCTCCTGGGTTCAGCAAGACCCAGCTCCAGCTGTTGTTGCCATAGGGGGAGTGAGCAAGGGGAGGGAAGACCTCTCTTTCTCTTTCTCTCTTTCCTCCTGTCTCTTTATCTCCTTGCCTTTCAAATGAATGAATAGAATATTAAAAAAAGATTTGTACATTTCTAAGAACAGTCAAATATTTCTAAGTGTCAGCATTAGCTTAAGGACCAGTCTAAGACTTTTTGAAATCACACTAATTTTATTATTACATATATATTCATTGTGTCCCTCTCTTCAAATACTTTAAAATAAACATGTATGTGTGTGTGTGTGTGTGTGTGTGTGTGTATATATATATATATATAAAACTGTGTATATGAGGGAGTTGAAAAAGTATGTGAACATTGCAGTGAGCTTGTATCTGCATCCCACTTTGGAATACCTGAGTGTACTCCAGCTCCAACTCCAGCTTCATGCTAAAGTGGACTTCTGTAGGCAATGGTGATGGCTCAAGAAATTGGGTTCCTGCCATTCCCACATGGGATACTTGGATGGAGTCCATAGCTCCCAGCTTCTATCTTGACCCATCTCTGGCTGTTGAGGTCATTTGAGGAGTGAAAAAGGACATAGGAGCTCTCTCTTTTCTCTGTCTCTTTCTCTCTCTCTAGCGCTTGCTCTTGGTGTATGTGTGTGTGTGTGTCTCAAATAAATAATTTGGTTTAGCTATTTTTTTAAAAAGAGATGTTAATTTGGTGCAAAATTTTTTTGAAGTCTATGCATAGTTTTTTTCAAAGTCCATATTTTCCAAGAACTTTTCAAAGACCCCTCATTTATATCCACTCAAAATCATATATACAGAATAATTTCCAGATTTTCTTTTTCTGTTTGGTCAGTACATCACTTGGCATATTCTTTGCATGTGTACATTCCAGATATTCATGCAAATTGATGCTCAATGGCTCAGCTACCAACTACATTCATCCACTGAGCTGTTGAAAGTTTCCAAGACATGTGGCTGTGCTTTCACCAGACAAACACCTATGCAGCCTCTGTAGAGAGGCTGCAGACCTGATTTTCCCCTATCATACTCTACTTGTTGCAGAAAAACACCCCAAACTAGTTGGATGTGTGGCTAGGGAGCCCCCAAATCTGGTCCATCTGCCCAGCACACAGAAAGCCAGTCATTGACACCAGGACAGTGGAAGGAAGTAGATACCTACTGCAAAGCACTGAGCAAGGAGCCAGGTAGCTACTGCTTAATTCCTAGGCTCCCTGAGGAGTCGGCTGTGAAGGTTCTTAGAGACTGGAATTGGGGCTGAGAGGCACATGCTCAGCTCATGTCCACATTCCTTGTTGTTTAGTGGTGCTTGGAACCTTCCTCTGATTGGTTGCTGATGTTATGCTCTGTAGGGAATTTTTACAATGGCCAGGGGTGGCAGGAGTTATATGGAAGCAGTAGTTACCTTCTTCCTGAAACCTGCAGTTTCCCTGCCTAAATTTGGAGTTCCCCCTAAACAAATCCCTCAGACAACACTGGCCAAAAGGTTTTTATCTGGTGGAGAAGCCGATGACTTCTTGAGCTCATGGATTGGTACCTTGTTGGGCTGGCTGTACACCTCCCTCAACTCAGTGAATTCCATTTGATAAGGGACAGGCGAGCACACCTTGGGCTTAAGGAGCAGACAGGTGGGTGGGCCCTATCTTTATATTCTACAGGCATGAACTCCCCCTCCCTTGATAGGCTTGTCTCAGGTGTGCACATTGGGAGGAAAGCACAACAACCCAGCCTCCAGCATTGCCATAGAACACAAGTGCCCACAACTGTAGGAGAAGCTCTCTCTTCTTTCCCTTTAATTGTGTTAGCACTCTGCTTTGTCAGGAATCAGATTCTTAAAATGTTAACTTACAACTTTTCTAACATGACTTGGTAAAACATTATCAGAAGTTTCAGCTGCATTGGTACAGACACTGGTTTTCATGAACTTTAGAAAATTTTTTGGGGGGAGAGGGTGGGTGGTGAATAGGGAAGTCATAGAATTAAATTTGTGTAAGTGTTCATAATCCTTTACAGATATGTCATTACCCAAAGGAGCAAGGTCAAGTTTGTAGCATTATGTGTATTAAGTAGTACATGAACTAGGACTCCACACAATTCATTTGGATGTAATTTTTTAGAACCCTTCTCATTCATAAGTTCAGAATATTTTCAATTAATAAACTCATGGGTTGGAAATTTTACTGTTGACTCAATTTACTTAAACAAATGTGAAGAAACTCATTTAATTGCATTATTGTTCCAGCAAAACATTCTAAAACAGTTGGATGCTATTCTGAAATATATTCACACTCACACTCATCTAATCCAGTGGACGTTTTATTTGTGTGTAGGTGTTTATGTTTATAAATACAAATGAGTATATATAGACAGCATAGTCTTTAAGCAAAGCTGTAAAGTAGGCCCATTGGTCTTCAGTGTTAATATTTAATCTTCCCTGTGTCTTTAGTAGCTGAGTTCATCTTTGACTCCTCCTCTGCTGAATTAGCCTCAGAAAGATGTCTAATAAATTCATCCACATTAATGTATAAATGACTGATTGCAGATGAAAGTAGAGGTATTTGCATTTAAAAGATACAAAGGCCTTCAGCTGAAACATTATTTTTCAGACTGTTCTGTTGAGTTATAACAGAAATTCTTCAACAATCCTGTAAAAACTTGGTTCAAATTCATTGCCATGTTTCAGAGCAATTTTTAAAAGTCTGTAATAAAAATATATGTAACTGTTCTACACATACATTTTATCATATTAACAGTTCTGAAATCATTAACCTGTGTCACCAAAAACAGCTTCCCCTTTGCCTCTCTTCCTCTTCCTCTTTTGTCTTCCTCAGTAGATGGACGGATAGAGAGATATTCATGCCTACACATCCACATTTATAAACGTATGTACATGTAATTGAACAAATAATGATGACATTGATTGGAAAGTCTGTAGCTCTACAAGGGTCATTTTTAAAAATAAATCTTTGAGGGTTCCTGTCCTGCCTACTCCACTTCATATCCAGTTCCCTGCTAATGAGCATGGGAAATCAGTGGAAGATGGCCCAAGTTCTTGGGCCCTGCACCTAAGTGGGACACCTGGAAGTAACTCTGGGCTCCTGGCTTCAGCCTTTCCCAGATCTGACTGTTGCAGCCATTTCGGGAGTGAACAAGTAGGTGGAGTACCTTTCTCTCTGTGTACGTCCCATCCTCTTTTCTGTAACTCCGCCTTTCAATGAAATATATATATATATATTTGTAGTCTCGTATATATTACTATATGTATTAGAATATTTAAATGAGGAGAAATGGAAAAATAGGGACATTACCACCACAGTGCATGGGGACCAGATGCAAAGACAAACAAACTAAGGTAATTTTCTTTGACATGAACACCACGCAGCACTTAGCAATCAGGGGAAGTAAAAACAAGATCTGCGTTTGACACAGCAGACATCA